GACTAACTAATTCACAACTGATGTAACTGACTGACTAACTAATCTCTCAACCACTACCTAACTAATCCCCTCAATTGACCCATAATCCAGAACCTTCTTGACATAACATTCCCTGCTGCTTGAAAAATAGCCTTGACCTCAAGGTGAAATTGAGGATATTTTGCTTCTATTTCAGAATGATCAACCCACGTAGCATCCTCTGGAAAAGAATTCGTCCATTGGACTAACCACTGAACCACAGCCTTATTACCCCGCTTAACCATCTCCTATCCAAGACAGCCATAGGTTCCAGTTGCAAAGTTCCCTCAAGACCTACTGGGGAAGAGTAGTGTGAGCTAACACATTAGTCCGATTTTCTTCTTAAGCAGTGAGACATGAAAAACAGGGTGAATTTTAGTAGTTGTTGGTAACTCCAGCTTATAAGCTACTGAACCTACCCTTTCCAAGACCTGATATGGTCCATAAAACCTTGGAGATAGCTTCATATTTCTCTGCAAAGGCACTGTAGTCTGCTTATAAGGTTGTAACCTAAGGAACACCCCATTCCCAATGTCAATTCCCTTTCAGACCTGCCCTTATCAGCATAATGTTTCATCCTCTGCTGTGCCTGAGTTAAATGCTCCCTCAAGGTCTTATAAATAGCAGCCCTCTCTTTTACCCAATTATCCACAACTGCTACTGAAGAAGTGTTGGAAAGGGCAAAAAGTATGGTCAGGAGGTTCTTGTCCATAGACTTGCAAAGTAAGGAGTAGTTTTGGTGGCAGCATGATAGGTGGTATTATACCACCACTCAGCTAAAAGAGAGCCACTTAGCCCACTGCCTAGGACAGTCTCCAGACATACACCTGAGGTAGTTCTCCAAACATTTGTTCAAAATTTCAGTTTGACCATCCGTTTGAGGGTGATAAGCAGTGCTAAGGCACAGCTTACAGCCCTGTAAAGTGAAAAGTTCATGCTGAAATGGCTAGTAAACACAGCATCTCTATCTGAAACAATGGTAGAAGGAAGACCATGCAACTTAGTTAGTCAGTTAGAAGGGTGAGGCGAAGAAGTAGTTATAAATAGTCGAGGAACTCCCATATGGGGAGGTATGTAAAATTCTGAAAATAATACACAGATTCTGCACTTTCTTCCTTATGCCTTTGCTTCTTCTTCCCTAGCTACTACCACGAGCCCAGCGGTTATCCCCTTCTTTCACATATGGGTTTTCACGTATGAGAAGTTAGGAGTTCAGCATGCAAGAGTCAAGTGGCATTTCTTAGCTTATAGTTGTACAACTTGCCATCTGTTGCAACGCCAAACAAAGAATAAGTTCAATTTCATATGAAAATATTCAGTATTATATGGAGAAATAACAAATCAGTGTTAATTTTGAAAAATAATTATAGATTTATGATAAACTTTATGCACTTTAATGATGAAAGTCGTAAACTTTTTCATGAATCTGTAATTATTTTGGGATAGTACCACTGATTTGTAAATTCCCCTTGCTACATTATATGATGATACAACATTCAAAGGAAATGCAGATCCATTTGCTTTTACACAGAAATAAACCTGACTACCATGAATATAAATCCAGCTTTTTTAGATCCACACAAAAATTACAAAAGTGATACACAACTACAATTGTGGGGATGAATGAGGGACAACCCAATAAACTCAACCATCATTATTATCCATAAATAATATGGAAGTACAATTTAACAGTTGTAAAACATCCCCAAAAAAAAAAAATTTAACAAAGAAAAATTGTATAACATATAGAAATGGCTTTTCAAAATTACTGTCAGAGTCTTGCTTTGTATCTGCCTGCTAAATTTTGGCAATAATATAACAAAATTTTCAGACTGCAAGAACAAAAATAAAATTAAGGGACCGACTAATCAACAGAAACCTGAGTAGTTATTCAAATCTCCCCATACTGTTTCCTCAACCTCTTCCCATGATTTTGCCATCCTCAGTTCCTTGCATAAACTGAAAATAGCTCCCAATATATTATCCTCATGCAAAATACAATAGCACCTGCAAACACATTGAACCATTCCGTACAAGTCAGCTCCACAACTGCATCAATACTGACTGCAAAGCCGAAATAATTTATCATGACCTTATATAACATACATTGACAACATCATCACATTGCCAAAAAAACCTCGCAAATGCAAGTTGTATGGTTAACTGCAAGAGGATTTTACTTTGAAAATAGAAAATAGCATTGAGGTTCTTGTCATAATCTTAACCAGGTTAGAACTATCAGATTGGGCTGAAATTAGAAAGCTTGTGGCCTAGTCAAGAACCTCTGGGCATGAGAGAGAGAGAGAGAGAGAGATGTTGAGCCTCTCTGCCCACAAAATAGGATCATGAAATCAACATAAGCAGATGAAAAAATAGAACTACGATATTTTCCCATCTGCTTATAAACCTTCCATATATCCATGTAATAACCATCTGTGATACAATCAAACTAAAAGCTAAGCTCCATCAAAAGAATGCATAGCAATAGTGACAAGGGATCCCTTGTCTCAGACCCTTTCTGAAGTAAAAAAGGAGTCAGGAGAACCATTTAGCAAGATGGACAATCTCACGGGCAAAATCCAAAATTAATTGAGGTCAACTCTCCCGAATGGTGTGCACCAGTAGACGAGCCACCGCAATTACATCCCTTCCAACCAAATATAATGTCGATATACCATTCAGTGGTAATTATCTAAATGCTTCCTCAAGGATATGTGAAGACTGATTATTTTTCAAGGAGTGAGGTATCACCAATGACCTCAAAAGACACCAAAAAACCAATCCATGGTGCTTCCACATAATACTGATCAGATTTCCATTCTGTTCTTGCGAACCCAAATTAGAGAACTCTTAATAGTTTCAATGAGGACATGCAGGAGATACGTAACTGGTTTTCCACTAAGATATATAAACATAATTATAGAATCTTATGGAGGATTGAATGAAACAAAGTAAAATAAAGTAAACTAATTTTCTGATGAATCATCATGAGTAACCCAACTGACAAACTAAAATTACAGTGCTAATTCTTAAATGATTCTTTCAAAGTCAACTAGAAATATCTTGAAGAACTAGACTAGAACAAGACATTGTGTTAGGAGAAGTCAAAATTTAACTCACATGACTATGAATGAGAGTCGTCCAAACTTACTGCCACCACCGTCAACAGATTCATGCTGTGATATTTTTCTTGCCAATGGAAGTCTATAACTTTCCAGAAACTGCTTCAAGAGATTGGGATCTCCTCTAAAGACATCCAAATGTATTGGAATCAAATCACAAATAGGGTCACCTGCAAAGAATTAGTGCCTTCAATATAAAAAAGATAGAGATTATCTATTTTTTGGTTCCGAATTGAGAAATCAAGATGAACTTAAAACAACAATTTTTATTCCAAAACAGAATTAATAAGCGTTCTCGTGTACTAAATCTTTATTCATTTGTGCTAGATGATTCTGATACATTTGATGCCATACAGTTAAAAGAGGGCATTTGTTCTAGAAACAAATATACTCAACACTAAGTGCAAAACCTCCGAGATAATGCACAGCATCTCCAAAAGCAGCGAACATACAACATGAGAACATAAGAAAGAATATCTGAAGTACTAAGAAAGCCTTGGTGCACAAATAATTAATAGGCAAAATACATACTAGTCTCAAAGTATGTCCAATCCAAGACAAATAAAAGAACATAAATTGTGCTGGACATCAGAAACGGCAGAAAAAATATGCCTTACAAGCTTGAAACATCCATACTCACAGGAAAATAAGCATATTGTCCCATGACTACACAACTCTATAGTTCTTGGGATCAACGAAATAAATGTAAAGACCCCAAAGCAACCTGACCGTCAACCCCCGCTACTGAAGCCCAAGGTCATCCCAAGCTCAACTTTATGAGATAGAGATGCCCAGATTTAAAATGGCAGGAGAAAAGAGTAACTTAGGCAATCAAAGCCGTAATCTTTGAGAGTGATGACAATCAAAAACCAAAAAGTCAATGCCATAATCAGATGGAGGAATTCGAGGAGAGGAAAGAAAAAAATGAACAATCTAAGAATTAATAGTATGTGATCAGAAAAAAGCAACGGGAAATTTAGAGACAAAAGATGCTGAAGAACAAGGGATAGAGAAGAAACTTTGACTTGCCATGTTTGGATATGTCAACTATGAGAGATGCTTAGGGCTCTGGTTCCCCATCATGATGTAGAGAGCGATGTAGAAAACAAAGTGCAGAGAGGAGTATTGCTGCAAGGTTCTGGAAAGACAGGGAATGGTATGCTCCAAGGCTATTAGGGTTTAGAACTTGTTGAAGGTAAAAAAAAAAAGAAAAGAGAGGATTTTACGTACCATGTAGTTTTTATCGTACAAGATTTCCTTAAAGAACCGATTAGACTAGTACAAAGTAAAATCTCGGAAAGGGCCAGCCAATTATAGGCTTGTAGCTTGTAAGTTTTGTGTGTGAGCACATGCATGTGTGTGTGTCTTTATATATCTAGTATTTAGGTCAAGTTTGGGTTTCCTGAAGGTTGAAACCTAAGCCCAACTTGGGGTAAGTTTGGATTGTTGATTTTTAAGCCAAGCCAAACCAAGCATTAAAAATGTTATCCAAACCCACCCAAAATTTGGTTGGGCCATAGTTTAGCACAAACAAGTAGCAGCCTTGATGTTATTGTAGTTTCATGATAACTAAATCCTTAAAAAACCATGCCATTAAACCCCTATCTACTTCAGTGAAGTTATGTTCATCACAAATGGAACTGGATAAATTCCAGTTCTGCTATAAACAAGGTTAGATATATAACATTAAATCAATTAAAAGCACTCACCTATAGATAGATCACTGAAATCAAGGATGTGACTAGGACGCCATGATGTCCGCTCAGCACCGCCATGGTTGCCATTCACATAACCATTATGCATGAGGTCAGCAGCTGAGGTGTGCTCTGTTAAGCAAGAACTAACACAACATGGTTCCATGTGAATATTGTCATCCATTATATCAGAGTGTATCCAGGAGCAAGGTTTAGCAACTTTTCCATCCTGAAACAAAGTAAAGGGCTAAGTTATAATGAAATTCCAAATAAAAAAAAAGAAAAGTAGGTATAAGAATAATAGTAAAACTAATAATAAGAGATTAGGGGGCAACCTCAAATATATTCAGAAATTTTGGGAAATCATCTGGGATGTATTCGTCAACTTTATCTATCAGAAAGCTTGGAATTGGATCACCCCTACAAGTGGCAAGAGAAGAATTTTAGAGGTGCCAGATTGAAAGTTTTGCTATATCATGCATAAATGGAGCTGAATGATCACATCACAGAATTGTGAGACCAACGTAGATGCATTTGAGACCACACACACACACACAGACACACACACACAAACTTTCTAGTATGCTAGACTGGAACACAACTGAGGAGCATGCATTTTTACAAATCACAAGCCAAAAAAGAAAAAGTGCCAAGTAATGACTAACTATGAAGCACCGACATTCCAAAATAGGTGCCGTAGTAGTGTCAACACCGGGACATGTATGGCACATGCCATGTGGCATATCCCTTTATTTAATTAATTTGTTTTCCAGGGACATTTCGGGGATATGCCAATAACTTTTTTCCCCTCTTCTTTATAGATGTTGGATGTTGAATGTTGATTACCTCTTTGCTTAGAATCTTATATTTAAATAATTAATAGACCATCCATGAAGAAGACATAAATGATAAAAGTTAACTCGAGTCGGTTTTTTTATTTATTTATTTATTTTTTATTATTATATTGAATTAGTATTAGTTTTTGCTAATTTTGATTGTTTGTGGATGTAATATTTAATCTACATAGAGACTAAAAATATATTATTATATTGCCGTATTCCCACCATGTCTGTATCCTCATTTTTCTGAAATCACCATGTCCCATGTCTGTGTTTGTGTCCGCATCCGTGTCCATGCTTCTTAGATGACTGATGAATACCATTTAAGAAATAACTAATTCTGTGAGAAGTCAAAATCCTTCTAAGTCATCTGATGATGAAATAAGAATGATGCACAATTCAGCAAGGCTGGCGTGTTGGTCTCCAAAAACTGAACACATACACCAAATGTTGGTAACCGACAAGGTAGGAAGTGTTTGACATTATGCCTAAGAGAATTGGTAAGAGTCCTTGTCACACATGGTGCATCTCTATGAGCCTCAAACTTAAGGATCAACAACTTCTTTAGTGATAAATGTGGACATACCATTTTGTCAAACGGCTACAGACATCCTTCTTCCTTCTTGTTAGAGTTCTGATGAAAAAATCCCATTCCGCAGGAATACTAAGTTTATTGGTGACAGCCTCCATTGAACCACTAACACAAGGGTACTCCATTTTCTCTTCAGCATCAGCAAGTGTTGAAGCATTTAAAGAAGGAAACGGCAGGAGATGAAGATTGCGCAGTTGCTTGCCCAAAAAAGAAGCTAAATATAGAGTATCATCCCATGAGAGAGTTTCTCGTCTGCAAAGAGTACACAACGAAGTCAAGACCATTTGGACATACAACACTCCAAACATATTAGAAGGGCTGTTGTTCAAGCACCCAGTATCTAAATTGAAACAAGAAACTAGGCAACTTACAACTCAGCAAATGTTTTGCCTTTGCATCTTTTTGTTACAATATATGGCCATATCCTTGAGCCGTCGCCAGAACTGATTAATTCATTTATTGACATCCCTGCTTTTTTTATTTCAAATTTTTTTTTGCTCCATACACCAAATGGAAAATCAACTTCCAAACTATTTTCTGGGATCAAATTACAACTAGCAATAACATCAGGAACTCCTTTTCCATCCCAAGGTACAATCTTATATGACCCATTTTCAATAAACAGAATTCCACTTGCTAAAACACCAGGAATGTGATTTTTCAGAGGGGAGTCAACCTTGCACAGTAGACTGTAAAACTCCAGCTGTAAAGATGCAATCAAAGTTCATACAATGTAAGGATAAAAACGACTACTCTAAGGGACAAAAATCAAGAACAACAAGATGGTACCTCAGTGCCTAAAGCATTAAGAGAAAATTCCAGCCCGTCTTCAACATATAGTTTAATTACATGGTCAGAAATGAGATAAACCTGTTAACAAATAATACAGCAAGTGATCAGATAGCTAAAGATCATTTTTCCAGGAATGAAAACAGTTGTCAGTTTTAATGATAATGTTTTAATTTTGTATCAGGTTACTCAAGCAGTGGCTTCAATTTTTAATGGAGTACATGTAAACAACTCCTTTTATCCAAAAGAAAAAAAAAAATGTCCTTTTTATTTTTGACGTTTTAATCTTTCCTATAGGAAAACCAATTTTAATTGTCTCAAGTTCTTTCCAAAATGCTAACTAACGTTTTAATCTTTCCTACAAGAAAACCAATTTTAAGTGTCTCGAGTTCTTTCCAAAATGCTAACCAGCGAGAAGAAAAAAGAAAGTTTAGAACACCAAAGTTTCAGATGCTTCTGGCTCAAATAGCTGAAGGACTCCAAAAATGCTTAGAATCTATGCATCCAATACAAAGAATGACAAAAAAAACTAGCACATTCAAAATAAAAACAGAAATGGCAGTAAATTTGAAAATCTGCAGAAGACCATGAGCCACTCACTTACAGGATTGCTACCCATGCCAACTGGAAATCTCTCATCATCTGTGGGGAAGGGCAACTCATGGAAGGTGCAAATTTCTCTGACGCATTCAGACCATTTCTCAGCATTCAGCGCAAGGCAGGCTCCCTACGCCATTTCAGAACATTAATGGTTAGATGTAAAAGAAATTTCATTAACCCTTCCCTAATCACAGTACAGCTCAAACCCCTTGGAGAGTCTCTGAGCAGATACCTAGGCAAAGAACTACTAAGTTCTGATGATTGTCTAAACCAGTCTGCATCCAACTGTTCAATAGATGGTTAAATAAACAGATCATTAGCGCCACTCTTGCCCCGCTGTGCTCTGTGTGTGTGTGAGAGAGAGAGAGAGAGAGAGAGAGAGCACTATTGGCCAAAGAGACCCCGAGAAGTGGAGCCAACATGTAGTGCTGATACAAATCACTCATGGCCTAAAAGATGGGGCTCTTAGCCTTCATATTATCAATTCTTCTTTTTGGCTAAATTTAACAAACTCCTGACTACACGACTCACAAGAACAAAGAAGAAGCTAACAAGCAAAGAAATACCTTCCATATTAGGTTTCTCAATCCTGGTTTTGCAATCCAAAGCTTCCATAACCATTCTCTCATTTCTCGTTGTCCTATGCAGTTGCTTGAACTCCAAAGAGAATTGTAATGGTCCCTCCCTTTATCCAAAAACATCTCTAAGAAATTTATATCATAAGAAAATTCCTGATCATGCAGATTGTGATTTATGGAGGTCGAATTCACAGCATTTTCAGAATTTGGCTCCTCTACAGGTTCACAAAATTTGATCCTTTTCTCTTTTCTAGTCTGGTCTGTGTCACTCAAACTATCTTCAGTGGACAATGTTGTCTTTTTGGAATCCTCAAAACTGCCCTCATTGAGTGCAAGCAAGCCAGCACGACAAACTCCTTTGTGTTGATAACCAGGAGCCATATCCAGACAAACAAATTCAAAGTTTGCGGAGTTTACAAAATTCTGTGTGACAGCAACAGTGGTTTCCAGATTTAACACACAGTGCCACCATCCACTTGGAACAAATATTGTCTCACCCGGTAGTTGAGTACACTCTATTGGTTTGTCTTCATTAGCAAGAAGCGGATAAAAATCAAGCCACCACTGAAAACACAAAAAATGATCTGATACAAGATGGCCTGAACAAAGGCACCAAAAACAAAAAAACATATCATACAAAACTACAATCGTTAGATGCAGTTTTGCATGTCTACACTAGAATACCTGCAATGATGATGGAGTCTCAACATTGACATCACCATCTTCTTCATTTACGTGCACTGTCACACCTAAAGGTACTCTTCCTGGAGGATACAACGCCCACCTGTTCAAACAAGATTGAGAGATTGACTTCTAGACATCAGCTCCTTTATTCTGGTCAAGCAATACCAAAAAGGGTAAAACTTCCCAGCATCCAATAATACCAAAAAGCACAACCTATTGCACAAGGCTCCCACTGAAGTGAGGTCTGGGGGCAAGATATTCAAGAGGCACATATTTAAGATGATATTATAGCCGAGAACTGTATTGACCAAAACAGTATTTATAAATGATCTAGTTGTACGGTTTCAAGTTGAACTTTATAATCCATAACCTGAACATTAAGAGAAGTTGCTAGGTTGCATACCCTCAGGCCACATGAATGTGTGTGGTCCCCTCGAGGACATGCAATAAAAATGGAGGTACATGTGAATGCTGGTGCATGACTCCATTATTTTCTTTCTTATTCTTAAATTTGTACTCTTTCTTTTACTGGAGGAGGAGGTGTGTTAAGTAGGAGATCTCACACTATATTCAGAAGTTGTTGACAACTATTATTCTAAGATTCAGATGAATACTTGTTGCCTACATATGGTATGCTGAAAAAGATAAGGCTAAAACACGGACAGGTTGGGATTATTTGGAGGTCAATCAGAGCCCAAGGTTTGAAATTTAATGAATTGAAACCCGAAAGCAAAACCTGGTGCAGTCCACCAACAAGCATATGTGGTAATAGGTTATAGATATATTTAAAAACAGTGAATTCAGTAGGGTAAAACAAATGCATGGAAACAGATTAGTCTTCATGCAGGTTAGTAAAAGGTTTACCTTTTACGGCCACTCAAAAGAGTATTCCAGGCACTAGTCAGAGCTGGATCAACATGCCAAGAGGCACCAGATCTCTCGGGCCCAATAATGAGCCATCTAAAAGCAGGTCGCTTGTCTCTATCTAGTACATCAAAAAAGTCTTCTTGAAATAGATGAGGCACACTGTAATCCTTCAACAAGCCCGGAACAACTTCCCCAAACTGCATGAGTTCCAAGTTAGAGTAGTTCAAAGATTTTAAGAAAAAAATGGATGCAAGTATATATTTATATTGGAAAGGCACCTTGTCGTCAAAAATATAAAGGGGATCCTCATCATGCTGAATTTGCATGTATGAGACATAATCCTTAAATTTCACAGCGATTTTCCGAGAACTCCTCTGAGAGATCTTAAACTCTGTATCTCCATAGTTCAGCAATAGCTGATCAATTGTCCATGTGCTCCTTGCTGGCCAAGTATCAGCCAAACCCGAAAGCAAAACCTGGTACAGTGCTCATCAATAATCTATAAACAATGTAGTGTTGTGAATAATTAAGGTAATTAAACAATATTTACTATGTATGTAAACCAGTCAATGAAAATGTCTTTTATGTCCCCTTTTTTGAGAAGAATGCTATCTACCTCCAAGAAATCGAATAAAAAACACATGGAGGAAATCGACACACATAAAAACAAGGAAGCTTCATAAATGACATTGCTGTTCCAAGGAAATATGGAAATATGTCTAAAGATTCAGAGATAAGGCCACATATATGGAAAGGAAAGAGAGCATAAAAGACCAAATGATATAACTAAACAAAAAGAGGGTTGACTAATAGTCTAATTTACGGCAATCATACTGTTCTTTCCACTATTTATTATTCCGTTTCAATTAATTAAATTTCAAAATCAGAAGCATTAACCCATACTGGTTTCTTCGCATCAAACTCTTGATGAAAGTCTTCTAATGAGATGTTATTCTTTCTTTCCATATTTCCGCTGTCAAAAGTGAATCCAGCCAATGTAGTATAACAACGATAATGTCTTCTAAGCAGAAATAAAGAGTTGAATCCTGTAGAGGGTATAACTGCCATCAGCTTTACCATATATAGGGATAATCATCAAATAACAGTCAAAAAATTGTCACAATGTCTCCTACCATCAAAGTGCATTGGATTTATGCAAGTTTCTTGATATTCACTTGGAAGATGCAGCCTGCAATCATTTGGTTGTTTGAAGGGGGGGTGAAGAGAAAAACTTGTTAGATTCCCACAACGAAGATGATGATGGTCATTGGACAAGAAAACACAAACACCAAATATAGTTCTTAGTCGCAAAGGCGAAGTGAATGTATGAAAAATTAAAGCATGAATCCCACAACATACTGATCCAGTGCAGTTTTCTTCCAGGAGCCTTTGTACTGAAGTTGGCCATTTACATTGTCAAGGCATAAACTCATCCATAGTGGTTCTTCATTGCATAAGATGTACATCACACTGCATATTTAAGATAAACAAATTCAAATAAAAAAGGGAAACAAAAAGTAGTTTGGATTCACAGATCCTTCAAACTTCATTCAGAGAGTTGTCTATGGACTGCATGAATAAAAAGCTAGAGAAATTTCAAATTAGTTCGGAAGACACCTATAGCTAAATAAAGGCTTCGGACACAAACTTTAAGCTTTATGAAACTGCACCAAAATGATGTTAGGTGATATGCCATTCCATATGTATAAAGAATCTTCTAAAAGAAACCCCAAGGCAAGTGGCCGAATGGTAAAACCTAGAGTATAAAATCCACAGGTCTCGAGTTCGAGTTACACCTTAGGGCCTTTGCCCGGTTGTTAACTTCAGGACCCCGAGATTAGTTGAGGTGCGCGAAAGCTGGCCCGGACACTCGGATATCAAAAAAAAAAAAAAATTCTTCTAAAAGAAACCAACAAAATGTTTTCACAACAAAAAATGTAGCAGTTCTGAGAATAATGCACAGAACTTTAAAGCTGATTCTAAATTGGTATCCTAGTTTATTGTTGCGAACAAACTGTTGTGCTGAACCATTTTCCTTCTTATCCCATTCTTAAAGACAAAATTTCCATAATTGGATTGGAAAACTTGTTGCTTGTTTATAAATGTACAAACATTGTACAGGCAAAGGAAATTGTCAACAGCTACAATTGATTCAGCATTTCAACATTGACACGTACAAGAAAATCAGCCTCAAAAGGAACTAGAAATCAGTTCATTAGTTCAATTTGCTTTCTTTTTTTTCCACCTTATAGAAAATAGTGTTGCGATTTTCTCGTTAGTCTTTGCTTTCTTAATTATGCTTTTAAGAGACCAACTTCTCAGCCTAATCTTTGTCATTTTCCATTTTCTGAACATACTCCTTTGGACCATCTCAAACCTTTAAAGTGTGATAAGACCTTCCCAATTTTTATGGTGGACAAACACTGATGCACAACACAACAAGGATGAGTTGAAGCATTCATGGGGGATATATTATTAAAGAATTAGAGACAACAATGATACATGTATACATATTATATATAATATATCCACACTTTGTTTGCATATCTATGTGAATACATGCATGTACATAGGTGTATATTTGATGTACATGTAAAATCACAAATGATGATTTCTTTCCACCACCGTTACCTGCATCTACGTTACACCCCTGACTAACTTACATTTGTTTCCAATATACTACACCAACTCTGCTTCCTTTCGACAGCAAATAAGATATAGGTAATTCAACGCCAACAAACCCAAGCTTTGCTTTCTACTACGGCTGGGCACATTCTCACATGATAGTCATAATACTACTTGTACCTACCATGGTGGCCAACCTGATCAATCAATCCAGGTTCAATGCAGATCAAATTTTCCTGTCACTTCTATAATCAACAGTTCAATTGGGTTCTGTCACTAGAGTTCTCATCCAGATATGGATGCTAGCTGTGTCACCAACATTAAGATACTGCAAAAGGGTGCCCTCAATTTGCAGCAATAAACATCTCAGTAACAATCACACGAGAGTTGAGACCACATATTGGGCATATAAATTATAGGGTAAATTACATTGACATACCCCAAGGTTTGAAGAAAATGCAACAAATCTCACAGTTTTGACATAATTACACCAAAGGCTAAAGAGACCATAACTAATGCAAATGTGAAAACACATACAGATAAACAAGAAAAAATATACATTTCAGTGTAAAAAGGATCCTAACATCACTTTTTCATCCATACGAGTAAGGAATTATTGACAAAAAGGGAGCTAATTGTTATGTGAATTGAGTAACTCAATGCAATTATGGCAAAACCGTGTAACTTAGCTGTATTTTCTCTAAACTCCAGGGAGGTCAGTGTAATTTACCCTAAATTATAATACGCGCAGAGTGTGCCCTATTCCCGAACCAACCTACTCAAGTTTCTGCATCTTGAATTATCACTGTGGCATGAATTCCTCCAAATGTTTTCTGAAGTATCATGTAAAATTCATTCGCGTCAATTTGAAACTACAGATAACCCTGACTCCCCATTCCTTCAAAATCATAGATAATCTATTTTGAACTCTCAATCAATTAATTCACAGCAAAGAAAAACGAATTGAGACACATACAGGTAATCTATGTATAGAGAATAAATGTAAGAATTGAAACCTGCTAACGCAAGAAAGGCGAGCGACATCGCGAGGAGTGAGATAGACCAACATAGCACATAAGATTTCGTCAGGAAGAACACGAAGGTCACCGAGAGCGTCAGGTCTTCGGTCTTTGGGTACGCATTGGGTTTCAGAATACTCTACCTCCATTGATAGGCCTGTGTTACGCGAGATTGCTTTCACAATTTTGATTCAGTGTCCTTCGTCTATGTACTGTTATGTAGCGAGAGAGACAGAGAGAGAGATCGCACGCACGCACGCACCGAATTTGACACGAGCGCGCTATCTTCGTAGAACTTACGCCACCACCGCGAGCGCGCCTGAGCTGAACTTTCTTCGTTTCTTACGCGCGCCAATACCGTGTGCGCGAGGAGGATTCTGTGTATTTTTGGACGGTATATAAATTTTATTTATACTAGTTACGGAATGAAAATGATAGTTTGGCTCAGTATCTTTTTTTTATTGAATTTTTTTAATATGTTAGGTAATTTTTTTAATTTTTAAATGCATTTTACATAAATATAGTATAATATTTCTGAAATTTTATTTTAATTTTTTTTACTAAATACTAAAAATATAAAAAAAAATGAAAATTTAGTATAATTTTCGTATTCTTGTATTAATTTTTAATTTTTTTTTACAAATATTTCACTTTTTAGATATATTAAAGTAAGATGCATTTAAAAAATAAAAAAAGTTAATTAAAATTTTAAAAATATTTACTAAAACCAAAAAATAAAAAACTCAATTTTTAAAAAATTAAATTCAAAAAATTGAAACCAAACATAGTGAATATTATTCATAAAAGTTATTTATGGTTCATGTAGAAATGTGTAAAATTTATTTTGTAAGAAAGTGAATTTTATCCTGATGTTTCGATCCATATAGAAATTGCATAAGTAATTTCTTAATATTTATAGATCCATTGTTATGAGTGTATTTAATTTCATTGTCCATTTGCATTATTAAAATCTTTTACACGAATCATAAGTAATTATATGTTAAAATTTATCAATGAATTAACGCAATGGATTTACTTTTGCACTATTAAGTTCTAGTTGAAACAATTGATAATATGTATTATGATGAGAAAATAAAGAAATTTGAAAACAAATAATATGGGATAGGATAGTTGGCTTAATGGTTTATATAATTGTCTTCCAGGAAATTGAGAAGGTTAAATGTTTAGGATTTGAATCAATTGAGTAATTGAGACCCTTTCATTATAATCTAATTTATTAATTTAATCATATCATATCGTTTGTGTAGATTGTTTGTGTAGATTGATAGTTTTACATATTTGTCCAAATAATTACAAATAAATATAACTGAAATATATGAGAAAATTAATTTTTACTTAGAACAATTTTGACTTTAAAAATTACGTGCTACGCGACTTCAATTTATTATGTTCACACTAATTGAGTTGTTTACTTTATACTACATATATTAGTGGTGTAAACACGATATTTTGGCAATTATATATTTAAATTTTTGGACAGTTTAATGAATAATAAAATTTTGTTTAGGGTGGCAGTTTTTGTATGTGGAGCCCGTGTTCGACTGCTCAAAATTTGTTTAAGATTGGTTCTGACGTTTGGTCAACATTTAATTTAGGCTAAATTATACTCATCTCCCATGAGGTTTCTGATAAATATAAAAAATTTATCTGTGATTTGAATAATTACACAAATCTTTTTTACTTTAATTGACATTGTCCAAATTCCTTCATTCCGTTAGATTGGAACAAACGATATTACTTTCATATAATAAATAACCTTACTAGTCATTCTTTTGAGCACAAAAAGACGATAATACTTTTATCCCCTCTATTTACGTCATACAATAATTAAATTATGAATTATATTTTAGGTAGTGCTCAAGTATCCTCCATCTCTCATCCTCATTAAAGAGCCGTTTGGGATCTAGTTAAAAAAAAATCATTAAATTATTTGTTATCAACTGAAAAAAATCAAATGTAACATAAAATGTTTAAAAATTTATAAAAAAAAAAAATCAAGGATTTGAGTCTTATAGCCTAATAAACTATGAGTTTTTAATTTTATTAATTTTAATTTTAATATTTAATTTGTTTTCAATCTATATAGCCTAATAAACTATGAGTTTTTAATTTCATAAATTTAAATTTTAATATTTGATTTGTTTTCAATCTAAACCATTAGTCTTTTTTTTCTTTGGTAAAATTGTTAAAAAAATATATTTTAATTATTAAACTCAATAGAAATAAATATTTTAGACATTTTTTGTATATCTAAATTGTGTTTAATAATTAAAAAATATTTTTTTCGATAGTTAATGAAAATAGGTACATAGTTTAGATTGGAAAAAAAAAAAAGAGCAAAAGATTAAGATTTAAATTAACAAAATTTAAAACTCATAATTTATTTTATTACAAGATTCAAACTCTGATCTTTTTTATTTTTGTAATTTCTCTTAAATTTTTTCATTCACAAATAATTTTCTAAAAACATTAACTTTTTTAACTTTAAAAAATGCAAAAAATTGAAAAGTCACATTAAATAAATAAATAAATCCCAAACACACTATCAGCGTGATAATCAAACTTCTCCAAAAACCCGTGTATTACAGTGATAATCAAACTTCTCCAAAAACCCGTGTATTAGAGTGAGTTCAAATGTATTACCTTTAGTATTTTAAAATTCATGTTATTATGTGATTTGGTGGTAGGACAATCTATGTTTCTTTATTGTTGTTTGGCTAATTAATTGTTTATACTTCTAGTATTCACTTCATTGTAAACTGAAATTGTGATTGGAGTAATACCATAAAATAAATAAATAAATATAAATTTTAAGATAAATTACATTGACTACTTCTAAGAATTAGGGGGAAAACATAAATTTTATAAATTTGACATAATTACATAAATTTCCTGTTTAGTAAGATTAAATTGATAAAAAGTAAAGTAATGCATATAGTGTGTCAACACTAAAATAAATGACAACATATATTTTTTTTCTCTATATATGACTAACAAATTAATGGGAAAAAAATTAAGAGTTATTTGAATTAAAATATTATGCTAGTATAATGTAATTGTACCAAGTTTGTGAAGCTTATTGCATTCTCCAAATCTCATGAGTAGTTAGTATAATTTACCCTAAAATTTATAAAATTTTCATATTTATTAATGTTACAATTATTATATCATTCTAAAATTTTATTATTGTATAGCACAAGTAAGAAAAAAATATGTAATATTTATTAGTTTGTATAGCATTTTCTTCAAAAATATGTTAATAATTGTCCAACAGCCACGAGGGTATTATTGTTATGTTTGGGTTTATTGGTGATGACATCAGCAGGTTTTGTTACCTGTGGTAACAGAAGTTCAAATATGGGAGAATCTTGACAATGTTAGTTAAAGTAGAGGAGGTTTGTGTAATTATTCAAATCACAAAGGAGTTCCTTGTATTTGTTAGAAACCTCAGGGGAGGTGAGTGAAATTTACCCTTTGATTTATAATTTTTATTATTGTGAGTAATATGTGTATCTGAATAGAAAATAAAAAAATAATAATTTTTTTTATGCAATTGTATCAAACCACGGAAAGAGAATGAAAATAATTTTTCTTAAAGGCAAAGTTTGTTATATATCAAACCCTCATGCTTTTTTTTTTTGGATAAATAAAAGCATGCTGATTATAAGTTGTAACTGGTGCATTTATTGGAGTCTAAATTTAATCATTTATAGATTATATTGTTATAAATATAGTGACAATCTTTTTTTGGGTCAATTTGATAGGAGATATAAAGACCTATTCAATTGAAAATAATGAATTAACCAAACACTACTTAGTTTCAAACTCTAACAGTAAACTCATTTTTTTTTAAAAATAAAATAGAAATTAAAATTATAATAAATATAATAAATAAATAAAAGAAAAAGAATCTTTCAATTATTTTGGCAACTGCAAATAAATTCAAATTTTGAATTTCAATATGATTATAGAATAAATTATATATTTGTAAATGATTAAATTTGGGAGTCTAATTTCTTATTTACTTTTTGAATAAATGAATGTTTGTTGTTAATCTACATATAGAATAAATGAACATAGGTCCGTTTACAAAGACTTTAATTTCTTAATGTTAGCTAGAAATGATAAAAAACTATGCAATCAAAAACCCAATGTAATCACAATCACATTGTCACAATGAATACACAATTATGATGGAATGAAAAACAATATAATTGAATCAAACCATAAGTTTGGAAGATCTGGCAAACATAAGATTCAAAGAAGGCCATATGGGTACTGAGTGAGACATAAAATCAGATCACGTTGGTTGCTCCGGACGAATCTGAACAACATCAACTTCCCACAAAATCCAATTGGTGTGCCTCTTAGGAATATCATGCATGGTTGAATTTCTCCATGGCGGTAATCCCCCATTTCCACGAAGGAGTTACCGTACCATGGTTTCAAGTGAACTTGAAAACTATCTCAAATCTAAATTTTTGGGGAGCATTTGAGAAACTCTTCGACCAGTTACGCTGAGGAGTTATTGCTCATCAGTGGCGATGTGGTACTGGTCGTAATAGCTCTTGAATGATAAATCACCTTCATCTCTTGCGTAATTTCCTCTCCACTTACTCACAACCGTATCGTCTCCACTCGTTGCAACCCATCGAGACATCTCACCTTCATTTGAGATCTGAATTCCAACTATTGTCGGAGACAATCAGTTGATGCAATTTCCTTCAACACCTTTTGATGTACGTCATGACCACCATATTTTAGCTAATCTCATCAAGTATTAACCAAGCCCTCATTAATTAATTTGCAACCCATGCTCCGGTGCAACCATTCATACCTTCAATTATTTTCTCTCTTCATATTCAATAATTTTTTTTTTTTAATTTTATATATGGTGTAATGGGTGAGGAATGGGTGTATGGAAAAGAACGATGCTACACTCGCAATGAATGAAGGAAAAAAGGGCAACGACGGGGAGGGGTGTCGCCGAACATGATTCTTACGAGAGACAAAACCATTACCTTATTTTTTCAATGTAATCTGAACCGTTGAATAGACAAAATAATGAAGTGGCATCATCTTATTTACAAAATTGGATAATCTAATTTTTTTGGTAAATTGTAGATAAGTCACTCTCTTATTATAGTAGTAAGATGGAAGTAACAATTTGCTCATACCTTTTCATTCAAATAGATGTGGCAATGTTTCACGCTTGCCATTTTATTCAAATTCAATAATAAAGAGGATATTTTCGGAATAGAAGCAGAGTAAAAAAGTAGTAAAATTATTAAAAAAATAATTATATTATGATGTTTGAAAGTGTTTGAATTTTGGAAGGTGTTTGGTTGTTTG